TTATCATTGTCATAAGATAACAAAACTGATGAGGTGAGTTCCTTAGAGAGAAAATTAAGGGGATGCTTTCATTGGCCTGACAAAAATCGCAGGTTACCTGTTGACACTGATGGGTGACCCCTAGCAATTAGGATTTTATATTTATACTTGTTTTATATGATATGTCTTGACAACGGCTGGATAGATTCCCCTGAGCTTCAAAAACATTGCTTAAGTAAAATTTTAAACGCTGGACTTTTAGTGTTTTTATAGTTAATTTTACTTAAGTAAAAGATCTTAATATGTTTTCCACCGCTGCTAATAAATTAATTAGGAGAGGATGTACAATGTGATCAGTCATCCACTGAGCTGACTCGCAGTTCAAACAATCACCTCACTCATTAAAAATGTGAGCACATGTTGTGCAGTGCAGGGCCACTGCTTGGGTTCTCTGAAGTTTAAATGTGTAAGATATGGCCAGAATTGTAGTTTAAAACATTTCTTTTTAAAAATGGTATAAAATAATCAGCAGAATGTGAAGAATTTGTCAGCTGTGTCTGAACAGAGTGACAGAGACGAGGAGCAGACACACACAGGCAGGAGAGAAGCCCCTCCCCACAGATCCTCACACAAGGCGATGGGCCGTTTAACTTAATTGTTGCAGAAGAAGCGACGCCCTGCTAATCCAGGAAGACATAAAAAGCTCCATTTATGAGGTTACTATAAAAATAAAGTCTAACGTTACACGTGATTAGAAAAGAGCAGAAGGGCAGAATCGCTTTCAGAGTAGCCCGGCTGGGGGGGGGGGGGGGGGGAATGCTACACACGTGTACATCCATGTTTAGTTGCAAAGTGTAATGGCAAGCTAGTAAGCAATGGTGAAAGAAACAATCATGGCTCAAAACTTCAACTATTAGGAAGAGTTGTGAGGGTCATGAGGAGAATGTTTTAAGGAGCTCTGTTGAAATCGAAATAGACGACAGTAAACTCAAGGGCTAGTGGTTACTGTCAGTGAAGTCTCCACAGCATCTGCTACCAGCACACGGCACAAAAGAGTAAGAACATATGACTTGAGTTACATCACAATTTGCTTTGCTTTGGCGAAAAAAGCTGGAGTTGTTCGAAATCAAAGTCAGGCCATGTGATATTCCAGCTTTCCCCGCTAGGGACAGTTTTCTGCCTGACAAGGACCTGATCCTGGAGGATAGGGGAAGGGATGTTGCGCACCTCAGACAACAGTTCATTTCCAGCATTTCCAGGTGACAGTCAGAGCGAATAACTGGGTGAGAAACACGTTCAGCAAAGAAACCAATGAAATGCTCAAGAATTTCACTGTTGCTGAGCAGAAGAGTTTTAATGATACAATAAAACTGACCAATTTAGCCTAGACAGTTAAAAGTAAATCTATTTATTAGGGAAGAACCTATGTGGACTGTCTGTAGCTGAATAGGGTATGGGCTAGGCTATTGTATTTTAATGTTGGTCACAATGTTGGTACTTGGAGAGGTTAATACTTTCTGAGGTGGTAAACGATGTAGAAGGGTCTAGAATCTAGAAGTTTGTTTGATGCTCTACATAATTAGAAGTATGAACGTCACAAAGATAACTATTACATCAACTTCCCATCATTCATTGCCATGTGATCGAACGTCATTGGCAGCTAATTTTACATCCGCGATGAAGGGTCATCTGACTGACTGTAGGGGTAACAAGACTATCTATGGTGACCATACAATTATTCATGGCTTTAATTCAGTGAGGTTTTTTTTCAGTAACATTGTCGTTAAGTGGTTTATTCAGTTACATCTTCCCCACAGAGGCCAGACACTGATACCCTGACAGCAAAGCGACTGAAGACATGACACTGAAACTGAAAACTGCCCGCTTCACCTTTGATGGATTGCAAGAGAGTAACAGAGGCTCAGAGTAATGCATTTCACCATAACATTGTCAGGTTGCTGTACAAACACAGGACAAAAACTGGAAAAAATGTCTCCATTTTCTACAGACAAGCAGTGGGAATTGAGATGCAAATGATCAGGTGTATGGCGCTTTACTGTGGCAACTGACACAAACCTCCCATTTTTCCCCATGAGAGTAGTAGATAGCAGCTGGTTTTTTGAGTATTCAGCATTTTTAACCTCTGGGTTCACATTCTATTTTCCTCTTCCACAAGCAATTCTATTTGATCTTCATCATCTGTATTATTATTAGTAAGTTCTGATCTATAACACAAATGGCCATAAGAACAAATAAATTGTAAACCAACGGGAGATGAAGGACAGTGACTAAAAGATCATTGTATACAGTGAAAGGAAGTCTATAAAAGTAACTTTTAAAAAGTGAACTAAAAGGTTTCAATGCAGGTACTTTGCTATTCTTATAGAGTACAAAATCCCAAAAGTTCAAGGATGGGAAAGGTCAGTGTCTTTAAATTCCCTCACCGCATGTACCTGTACTGAACATACACAGGGAAAAAATTAACAGCGAGACACTGAAGATAGTTACTTAAATCTTTCTAAATGGCATTTCTGAAATCAAAGTTGTTTCTTCTTACTAAAAGACTAAATCTTTAAAAACTGCACAAGTATATGTGGTTTAATTATTTTTTTTTTGGACAACTTGCTAGTAGGATCAATTCTTTTTTGGTTTTGGTCTTTCCATAGCATTTGATGACAGTAAGCAAAAAGTGTACCATCGTAATCCTCTACCTTTTGAAGTGGTAATTTAGCATGGTTGTTTATTCTCCAGTAAGCTACCTTGACAATAACGTGACTTCAAGCATACACAAAGGACATGTTTTAAGGTCAGCGAGTGCTGTAAAGAGTGTATCAAACAGCCCCAGTCTCTCAGAGCTATTTCAATGGATTTCTCCTCCTGGCCTCCATTTGTATCCTACTCATCCTACTGAAAACCATAATCACTGGTGTGTCAGCTGCCCACTTACTGAAACTGCATTTCTCTATCTTATTACCCCTTCTTTTTCATTTTCCTGGCTCTATTCTCATGGCTTTTCCGAGTGTGCTGTTGTCATAGAGTAGAGACGTACTGTGTTTTGTTCACTGTTTGGTTTTGTCACAACTTGTTTCTATGTCCTTTACCATCACAACACATTTCTGTTTATTTTGATCCACTATCTGTGCAAATAGTATTTTAGGAGTTTGGTCATGAAATGTGGTTTAACTAAATGAAACAGCCCTCGGCTCCAGTTCCAGTCACACATGGACACTTCCAGCACTTTTACTGTAATTTAACTGAAGCTAAAAGCCTTGCGTGGAATCGCCAACGTAATGACTTCTCTTTTGCTCAGAGGCTATACACAAGAATCACAACCACAGCTGTCACAATGAAATAAAAGACTTGTGTGGTTTATTAGCCTTTTCACCCATCTCATGAAGAATTGTGAAATGAGCAGAAAGTTTGAAATACAGCCTGTTGCTCTGTCACCTATGATTTAAGGTTTAGGATGCAGTGCAGTGCATAATGTTGAGGTTCTCTGACACACCTGTGGTGGACGATTGCAGTTTGTAAAAGACAGCTAAGCTAGTCAGATGAACTGGACAACTAAAACAACTTGCCAGCAGCAGTATTTGTACTACCTGTGCACTCTTAGCTGAGGTCTGTATGCAGAGCTGTAGCTTTTACACAGTGCGTAACACTTCTATTTTGCTTTCTTTGTAAAATCTCTAATATTTTCTTCAGGAGTATTTGAACAATTGAAATAATCCAACGTTTTAGGCCCGTTGTGTTGTTGTTGAATGTTTCTTTAAGTGGATTTGAAAAGAGGATCTCAACACAGATCAATGGCACAGTGGGCAAGAGAGCCACAGCAGCCGAGTCTCCTACCGTCTGCATCGATAACAAACAGAGGGAAGCAAAGAAAAGGAAGGACAGGGGGGAGGGAGAGACTTCCACTCCACCTACAGAGTTCAACAACTACAAGACAGCTGCCAAGGATCCATTCGGCTCAGGAACACTAGAGGACAAAAATGCTGCCTGATGTCCAACTACTGAAGACAGATCAATGTATTAACTTTGACTGGAGTCAACAGAAATCAGAATCACCAACAAATAAGAAGAAAACCTCTTAATAAGTCCCTTTTCCTCATCTCACTGAGTGAAAAATGCCTGGGTCACCTCTGATAGTCATGGTAATAAGTAATAATGTAAACTTGCATTCAAAAGCAACAGTCTTGTCTCTTAGAAAATATGTTTCTATTTTACCAATTTGTTTTGCTGATAACACTTTGATGGGAAAAATAATTGCTAACATAATTGGATTTTGTTCCCTGGCAAGGTTTTATTGAGGATTAAGTAACAAAAGCACTTCAGTTAAGGTAGAATCATATTATATTAAATTATACAGAATAGTGTTGGGCAGTTCAATCTATAATAGTGCATCATATCTTGGAAACCAATCAGATGTGTTGCATGTAGACATCTAAAAATTAACTAGTAACTATAGCTCTTAAATAAAATTGTATTTAGTCTACATAAGTAAGTACAGCACAAATGTACTTATTTACATACACAACATTGATTAACTTGATGACCGACATAGTCCCCAGTTCTGTTATTGTCTACTTGTAAAATATGAATTAATGATCAGTTAGTTCCAAATTCGTTGTTGTTGTTCCTTAATCGGTTTACTACTCAGGAGTTGTATCCCTCACTGTGTCAGTGAACCAACACGGAAGTGAGTTCCCGTGATATTTGAAGGTCAAACAGGACGCGCCCGGCAGTTTTGGTATTAAACAACAAAGCTTCTATAGATCGATTTTTACGGAACAGGACCAGTAATATGAGATTTAAGTTGCCCACTGTCATTATAGGCTACTTTGTTGCTGTGAACGCTCAACACCTCTAAGCACACACTAATCTGTGGTCTGCCCTTAATCTCCTGCAGACAACACGGTACGGTGTGTGCGGACCGTGCCAAAGGGGCTCTTTACGCATATTCATCGCCACAGTCTCGCTGCAGTGTCTGTTTGTGTAAAGGTACTGTAGTTCTAGCGGGCCTGCCGGCCTCTGCCCCTCTCTGCCTCTCCGCCCGGTGGGCTCTGTGATACTTCATGGTGTTTGTGCCATCTAGGGTTATCCGCCGCTCCATTGCAGTCTTTCTGGCGCAGAGACTTCGCACCGAGGGTCGCACCTCTCCATCTCGCTCAAACAATATATCTCCTTAATTATTGTAAACAAACAAACAAAAAACTTTCTTTTGGATGTGCTATGTTCACCTTTTCTTTAACTTTTCATCTTGGATGCGCTTTTAGGAGCCAAAGAGAAGCAAACAATTACAAGGACATGTTGTGATTTTACTGTCAAGTAGCCTAACCATACAACCCGCGGGGAGGAATAGAAGAACGCCTGTGCCATGTAGCAACCCTCTGGAAATAGCCTACATAGAGGAGCCCACACAGCAGCGAGCTGGTTATTTTTACTTGAAGGGGAAACTACAAATATGCTGTGAAGCTCTTCGTCGCAGCTTGGCTCCCGGCAAAAGCGCAGGTTTCCAGAGCATCTGCTGGTGGGAAACCCAGTCAAGGAGAGGAGTGCGAGAGAAGAAGCGACATGCGGCTGACTGTGCTGCTGGTTTTGCAGTTCGTCTCCTGGAATTAGTGGATGAATGGGAAGGGAGCGGCTGTAGCCTCGAACCAGAGAAACAGAATATACTGTGTAGAGCGTGCGGTGGCACACAATGGATACTTTCCCTCTCTGAAGGTAAGAAATCACCTCACATTATCTGATACGTGGAAGAGTTCTGACTGCCACGCACTCCTCCCAGGTTAGATGAGCAGTTAGTAGTTGATTAGCCTACACTGCATTTTAAATCTAAATGTGATAGATTTTTTTGGTTACAGTTCACGTCTAACCGTCCTGCCTGCAAAATTGTCACCGCTTGCAATATATTGTTTCTGAGGTCATCACTAATGTTTCACAAGCTCTGGAATTGTATTGCCTAAAATGAGAGCCAGTGTTTTAACGAAGTGAGGCTCGCAATCTCGGGCAATTACAGTTATACCCAGAAAGTAACCCGATCGGTGGGAATCTATTCAGTGCCGTGGGGCTACATGCGATTGACGTTTTCATTTACAGCTGTTTCATTTTGTAATGTTACATACGTGCGAAAGGTTGCAGCCTTGCATGGATACAAAAAAAAACAACAACCGAGAGGTTGGATAGTTGTGCCCGACGCATACCAATCCCGGGTGTGTATAAAAGTGTGCGTATTGTGGGTCTGCCAATGGGTGTGTTGTTTTGTGTGTGTGTGTGTGTGTGTGTGTTTGAGAGAGAGAGAGAGAGAGAGAGAGAGAGAGAGAGAGAGAGAGAGAGAGAGAGAGAGAGATTAGCCTACTCTTTTCCAAAATGTTCCCTTGTGATTACAGTAGGTTACAACGTTTATTAAACTCCCTTTAAGTTGCAGGAATGGGTTGCTGTGTGCGCGCGTGTTTTTTATGTGCTAATTAGGCTATTTTATTAAACTAGCAGTCACTTCACGTCTTGAGAAAAATGTGGGTTGTGCGTGCGTGTGCGCATACGCGCGTGTGTGTCTGGTTAAGGGATAGATGGCCGCCGTGGGGCACCATGGGCAGCAGTGTAACGTCACCACCCACTGTAATCACCACCCTCTTGTGGATTACAAGTGGTAGCATGGCGTTTGCTGATCTCAATAAGAAATCCGAGTGTGGAGGTAGAAAGTGCCGCTCGGCCAGATAAGGCTGTTCAGCACCATGGACAGCGCAGAGAAGTATGGGACTGCAGTAGGAGGGAACGTTTTAACTCCCACAGTGGGGCATTTATCGACATTTGAATGGCTGGTATTCTCCTAAAAATCACACTATAAAGGATTTGTCTAAAGAATGCAGAGTGTGGAGGTTTTCCTGAGCAAAGCCCGTTAGTTTACTGGAGGGATTCAACTGTGTTTTATTCATGAAAACAGAATTTTTCTGACACAAAATGACTCACTGACTGAAGTGCATTCTATATCCAAGCCTTGCTATTTATTGCCATAGCCACTGTAATTGATTGCGGTCAATCACACTGTCCAAGTCTACCATGAAAGTCTGTGGGTAGACCAAAAACAGCTTCTAAAAGAAGAAGAAAGAGCCTTAATCTTCATTTTTTTTTTCAGTTCAGTGCACAATTTCAACACAACAAGTATCTGAAAACTAGACTATTTCTTCACATATCACCTCCATGCAATAACTGATACTGTCATCTCATATCATCGTTTCATGGTGAACTTGTTAACAGTTGCTTATTTAGAAAAAAGTTACAGAGCAACATTACCATTCATTTGGAGTTGTGTTTGTGTCCGCCTGATGAATGTAAGTCCAATATTCCCTCTTTTTAGCTCTGTTTTTGGTCTCTACAAGCTCCTGGGGTGTTATCTGTATCTGGGGCTCCTCTTTCGCTGCTAAATGCTCCACTGTGCCAGCTAGTCTCTAATTTTTAAGCATGCTCAGGTGAGCTGCAGATGATAATTCTTTGAAAGTGTCTCATGGTTTTCACATTGTAATTTGATAGATTATTATTGTAAAATGTCATGGCAGCTAAACATACAACAATTAAATAAAGTTGTTGGTTTTCATAATTTTTCATAGTTTAACATTCAAAACCTCAGCTAATCTGCTTCATCGGGGCTGTATGGGTGTGGTTTGAACAGATGAAACCAACCAAACAACCCCTAACTGTCATCAGAGTCTGCATCACAGTCTTCAAATGTTGCAAAATCCTGATTGGTGCACAGGAGTACATGACGTCACATTTTCTAACCGACTCCTTCCTTCATCCAGTAAGAAGAGCTGAGACAAACACACAAATGCAGAAATCTTCCATATGAAATAACCAAAACAACTCCAACTTGAAATAAAACGTTTTGTCCATGTATGATCCAATCACTCATAGTAAGATCCTCATAAACAAAATGTGTTTTCAGGGACTTTAAAATTAATAATATGCTGATTTGTTTTTTTCAAACTTACATATACTGCTTATTATGAAACGTACTATACACTGCTGACACTGGAGGGGTATAGACAATAACATAAAATGAGGATAGTCAAACTACAGACTTCCTAAATAACTGCTGGGAACATTGGTGTCTGTACTGCAGAACAAACAGCCTATATTTTACTGTGTATGTTGTAAAGTAGGCCTCCTTATGGGGTAAAACTTTGTACTTATAAGGGACTTGAGAAGCCTAGAGTGGTACTGGTTTATGTGAAATGACACTTACACAGGGTGTTCACTTTTGTACAGTAAGTAGAAAAGCTTTTTATGATGAGGGTTTTCTGCAGTAAAACCAGCAGTGTTCATCTAAAGGGAAAGGCAGTTGTCGAAGATGATTGATTTTATGTCCTGTCACAGCACACCTGTCATGAACAGTAAAGAACACAAACCCTATACAGTCATAGAAAAACATTATTGAGGGTCATTGCACTCAATCAAAATTCTATAAGGTCTATAATGTCCTAGCCCCACAGGCAGTTATTCTCTACTGAACGATGGTATTGGGTTGCATTACGGGATCCAGTTATATAGGAGCTTGAGCTATACTAAAAGTCAGGATCTAGGCATCTGTTCCCTAAATTCGTTTTGTAATGTCTCCCTTTTTGTCCCCCAAATATTTGGATGTACAATACTTAGTTGCTGTTCCCCTTTAAAATCAGTTCCCCATATACTAAAATATCTCCTTTAATGTAATACATACATACTGATTTTTCAAATGAAATTTTCTTTCTGTGCTTATCATCACCTGATAAGAACAACCATCGCAAAATGATCTTTTTTGCTCTATGCCTAACTCACAAAGATTTTAAATGTTATTACCTCTTGGCTACATAGCAGCCCAATTAGATTCACCTATTCCCTTTTTAGCTTCTGGCTTGCTGAATGCAGTTTATTGCCCTTTTAATCTAAATAATCCCGCTATTCTAGCCAAACAACAACAAGAGCAGGAACTGTTCAATTCATTTTTATTCCGTTTGTATTCATTATTATTCAGATCCTTAGTTTCTCATTGTGAACAGTCACAACAACCGTCAACAGAGCATCTGATATGTTGATATCACTAGCAGTTATTGTCTGTCAGTGCTTGGTGCCGAATGCTGGGGGGTTAATTCCTTCTGTTGAGAGTGCTCTGGGAAATTGATAGGGGTGCTTTGACAGATGAGATAACCTGTAATCGCAGGCCAATGCAATTTATGGGTGCGGCAGATGGATGCTGAGGATGCACTCAGAAGTAGGCCAGTTTTACCTTGGGGAAAAGCTCGACATGCACAGAAGACTCCCAGAGAATGTTAGAAAGTTGCTTTTTTTTGAGAGGGAAATTATGAGAGAGAGGTGGGAGGAACGGGTAACGGGAGGACTACTCTGTTTCACACCTAGTGAAAAAACAGAGAGGGGATCAATTCCTGCTCAGTTCTGGTTCAGATGGAATAGCCTGGACAGAAGGCAATTGAAGTAAAAAAATGAATTGGGAAATAACTTGATAATTTAGCCTTAAACCCTCTCGCAACCAGCTGTCTCAGCACAACAATCTCTCCAAGTCTGCTGTGAGGAGAAAACTAGAGCTTGGTTCCTTTCCAGAAAACTCTCCCTTATGGCTTCATTCGCTCACCTATGCCAGCAGAACAAGCAGGGTGCACAGAAAACTCAACAAATAAATAAAAAAATCCAGAAGAGAAGCTTGGAGGAGCCTATATGCAGACGGTCAGATGCGTTTGATCTCATGTATATTCTTACATACACAATAAAGCACTCATTGGGAACCGAGCGTAGCGGCGGGACATGGTCATGTGCTTATTCACCTCAAATTGCCATGCATTAGAGGGAGACATATCCCTAATGGATTTAATCAACGCTCCTTTTGTCACTGAGTTGGTCCTTTGTTTACATCCATGCCTGGTGACTACAGCTCAGCTGCTGTCACAAAGCATATTTGCAGAGCGACGCTGACACATCATGCAGCGTTTAGAGAAATCAACTGTTTGGACGGAGCTGATACATTTGCAGCAATGGACAAAATGCGGTTTTGTTGGTCATTGAGAGTTGTGGATCTAGAGAGCTGCTTTTTCCTTTGTAACCTTACCCTTAAGAAATCCTCAGCTCTGGGGGCCTTGGATAGCTCACTTGCACGAGCACGTGCACCATGTACCAGGGCTGTAAGTCCCTACCACAGCGGCCCGGGTTCAAATTTGACCCGCAGCTCGGTTGCTCTCTGCCTTCCCATCTCTCTCTCCCGCATCTTCAGCTGTACTATCCTCACTAAGACAAAAATCCCTAAAAAGAAATCCTCATCCTCCCACCCATGTCACAGATTCCTTTAAAAGTTCTTGAGATAGTTGATGCATCACATCATTCAAAAATTTCTCTGTGAAACTTTGACGTGGTGCTACTGTCTTGCGGGTGACGCATTGAGTGCCTTAATACTACAGAAGTAGCTGGAGTTTTGACCCTTTAAGCAAGGTTGAAATTACACCCTGGCTTTCGGGGAACGCTATTTATGGGGTGGGAGGGTACGGTACACATGTTTAAGTACAAAAACATAGGCTACTATCAATAAATTTCAGTTCAAATAGAAAATATGAAGCACGGGACAATAAATAAAAAGAAAAAGTATTCACCCTTAAAGTGTGTTTTTAATACTTCTCCTTCAAGAAACAAATAAAATCCTAACTTATAGTGGACAGTCAATGGTTTGCTGTACAAATTACTTT